GTTTGCTAAAGATTGATAATATATTATATATTCGAAAAAAATATGCAGAGAAGCGGTATCTTTAAAAAGTAATTATTGGATAATTCAGGTATCTGGTTAAATAAGATGTTTATTCAAAGGAATCTTTTAATTATCTCGAGCCATTTCAATAGACGGCGAAACACTGAGGAAAAAGCAATATTTGTACTATAAAATCACTGTAGAAGGGAAAACAATTCTTGCATAGTGCCGTTGATAATTTTATGTTCATATCGCTATTACTGCTTTCTTTGTTACAACAGCAAAAGATTTCCCCAGCGCTAAAAATCATTTTAATTTATAATAAGATTAATAACTCTTTCTCTCAGTGAACATGAAAAATTCTACAAGTTAAGCAAGTCGCATTAATTTTGACAAGATTTTAGAAACACCACTAGCTGCAAAAATCCACCATCTTAAAACTTTAAATCATCTTTCAGTCATATCATTCTGACTCACCGAAAAACCGAGAATTCAAAATCACGTTCGATTCTGGTGCGATTCTGGAATAAAAAATACAGTATCGTCGATCAAATGCAAAAGTCGACAATAACAAAGAAATATTTGTGGATCTGCGCACGCGAAAGTGTCAATCTTTGGTGATCCTTGTAACTTAACGAGTTTGACTTGAACAACTATGTCGCAATTTTCCATTGCAAAGGATTAAGTGCAAGAATACAGGAAGTCTACAAACTTACCCTCGAGTTGACCCTGCTCGACCCGAATCGGATCCTCCGATTCAGCGCTCGCATCCAGCAAAACTGCACTTTCCGGCAACCACACCCATCTTGCGGCCACGAATTTTGTCAAGTCTGAAACAAAAAGCATGTTTCCTGATGAGATACATCACATACATACATTGACGTTAATGTATGAAGAATATAAAGACTTCAGACAGTATATTTCATATAATTACATGTCTCAAACTTTTGATAATTTCGATAATTTTCATATTTCAATAATTTTTAGATATATTATCAAGGTTATCACTCTGAGCAATGTTGTGAAAGTTTTAACGTCAACGCTTTTTGTTTATTAAAAAGTTATTAATGGAAAATTGGATTGCAATAAATAGAATGCAATGTTCTGACATTGTATATAAAATACATGCTTTTATATTACATTTTATATAAAAATTTTTTTATATTATTTATATTTTTACATTTATACATATGCATCCAAAAAAGAAAATATTAAATTCCTCAGCATTGGTATTAATTGTAAGATTCTTCAAACTTTCTTTGTTTATAATTTTTGAAGACTAATGACCGTCAACTTAAGCGATCTTTAGCATGTTACTTACAGTGATAACCAGACGTATCTCAAAATTATTAGAATTGGAGGATAGTCCTTATCTCTCCACAATTTGACTAATTTGACTACAAATTCTAGTCCTGGCATTATCATCTAAACTGCCGAAATGCAAAACTTTCGTCAATCAGTTAGCCTTTAAGGTTTAACTTTCGTCAAGTTAAACCTTAAAGGCTGCCATGGAAGAAATTTCAGCCCGAGTGAATTTTGCTTCGTTCTTATTAAATATGAAATTATTCGCTGCAAACAATAACTTCTCTACTTTTCATTTAATATTCAATAATAATAAAACATTTAATTGCATTTGTTTAACTTTTCTTATTTCTAAAATAAAAAAATATATATACTGGGAAATTTTATACTCATGACAGCATCAAAGTGATTTTCTTCTCAAAGTAACGATAGCCTTTAAGGGTTAATCCAAGTAAACGACGACTCGCATCGAATCGAGACAGTCAATCGGCATTGAGGAAAACAGCCAACGGCGAGATAACAACGCCTTTCTGGAAATAAGGGAGAAGAATACCTGATTGTGATATATACGCAAGGTTCCCGTTCCCGAGCGCGAATCACAGCGATTGCAGGCAAGCAAGCCGAGAAATTGCCGGATAAAAGGTTTAGGAGTGAACGCGCGCGCTTCCCCGGGGAACAGCGTATGCATTTCTTACGGAAGACGAACTCGTCGGATCGAACGTCGGTTAAGGGCTAAATTAGTTCGACGCGTGCTGACTATGGAAATTTTTCGCGACTGGCTCGCCAAGTCTCTCGAGAGGGGGGCGAGGAGATTCGCGAGATGAACAATCGATGCGGCCCTTGCGACGATCGCGGCTCACACACATACACACACACACACACACACACACGTCCGTGTCGGAACAATCGCGTGGAACGATTCCGGTTCGTTCGCGAAAATTGCCGTAATTAAATGCTCGCGAATAAACACAGTCTCGTCAATTTCACTCTGTCGCGCTCACCTTCTTTCCCGTAGTTATTCGCTCGTTTATTCGTGCGTCCGCTTCATCGGCCGATGTAAATTCGACACTCCGTCCATCCGTGTCCATTATTTCGCAATGATCATTCGTGACGTCGCCTAATCGCGCACTCGAATTTCGAACGCATCGGTGCGGGATCTGCTGTTATAATTCTTGCCCTCCTTCTGCCAACGCTCATCCGCGTAATCATCGCGCTATCGACGACCGGGGCACGAAGTTCCTCGTTCTCCGCTTGAAATCACGACGGATGACAAATCTGCTTCGCAGTCTCACGCCGCCGATTCGTTGCGAGTAATAAATACTCCGAAAAGATAACGCCGCCACAAAGTGATCGAATATCTTTGTGCACTCTTCTTCTCCCTCTCTTTCTTTCTCGTCCAACCGATGCCCCGCGTATCGATATATTTGTGGCGCGACTGACACACAAAGCCGAAAATACTGACCGATTCTAATGTGAATGCGGGCTCAAAGGGCCGAGTGGAGAACAAAGGGGATACCATACCGCTCCGCGGCAACGCGGCATTGAAAAGAGCGTATTGGACGATCAACATTTTCATTCTCACGTTATTCGGCAGTGGTCACGTCAGAGAGCATCGATAGCGAGTATCGACCATGTGAAATTCCTCATCCGCAAAGGAAGTTTAACAACAACGGAGCAAGTTTAACAACAAGGAACAGAGGAGAACAGAGAGAGAGAGAGAGAGAGGGGGGGAGGCAGATAGATAGGTAGATTTTTTTATTACACGTCTCTACGTAGTGTATGGTTATTACAATCTTAAGTTATTGCTTAAATAAGCAATATTGCTACAACGATATGAACATGTTTTGGAAACCAAATCATCATTTGGACTATTATGTATTTATATAATATCTTTTATAAGATCAAGTCCTGTGGTTTATTCCTTTTTAGGCGATTTAAGTCTGAGTCGATATCAAAAAGTTTAACTGCTTCCGCATAATGTTACAGTCTGCTTTCATGTTGTTTAGCATAGATGACTTCTTTTACTGTTTGGAGATTTAAATTCTTATGTAAGTCGTCATTCCGCTGGTACTATCTAGCGTTGGTGCGTGTGTGTGTGTGTGTATATGTGTGTGTTATTACTTTGATTATGTTATTTTGACATCTTTGAATCATTTGAAGATTAGACTCCTTCGTACATCCTAGAGATGTGCGAATCAAGAATTTTTATGTCGAATCGAATCGAATCTATGAAATTTCACTCGAATTCGAATCGAATCGAATGAAATCGAATCGAATCATTAAAAAATTCAACATGACTATTAAACATGCAAATAATGATGGAAGATTTTAATATGAAAGGGAATATTGATATTATAATATCATCTTAAAGTAAAATATATATTTAAATAATTAAAGTAATTTATAATTAGGTTATTAATTATATAAGTTAAGTTAATTACAAGTTAAGGGTTCAAACGTACAAGCCCAGATGGCTTGTTTTGTAGCTGAAGCACGCAAACGATAATGTATTTGATTCCTATTCGAATTATTCGGATTCGAATCATAGGGATTCGGATTCGAATCGAATCGAATTACATTAGATTTGATTCGATTCGATTCGAAATTCGAATAATTCCCACATCTTTAGTGCATCCTCATAGTTGCATTCCGTAAGTCCAGATCGATCTGATGATTGATAAATGAATTGATAAATAAAGATAAATAAATAAAGTAATCTTTTATTATATAGGCTCAATTGTGATCTGCGAGATAGATAGATAGGTAGATAAATACACGGTTGGACAGACGGAGGGTGTACGTGTGTGTACGCATGTGGGAAGGATAGGGGAGGGAGATGGCGGCGGGCTCGAAGGGGAGAATTGGAGGGTTTAATATGTACGACGTCCTCGGGGCGTTATAATCGCGTCGGGTATCGATCATTCCGCCGCACATGACGTAGTCCGCTTTGAGGGATTTCGCATTTGACCAATCGGAAGCTGCCGAAGGATCACAGTCGCGTACTTGTCGTTCCTAATCGTCCCTCGACGTGTCCTCGCGTGCTCCTGGCTGCAAGGCGGCATGCTGCAAGTCGCAAGTTTTCGGGATAAAAAACAGGGAGACAGGAGGAAAAAGCGAAGGAAAAAAGAGCGAAAAGCGCACAGCGATACATTCATAACATTATACGCTATTATACCTCGCGCCTCCCTCCCCCATCCCTGCCGGCCGCATCCAGCCGAGGCGAGCGAACCTCTCGCGAACACGCAAGCGTCATATTTCATTCGGCGGGCAAAAATTCCGATTCGCGCGGCGTTTTCCGCATAGCTCGGAGCGCACGTTGCGAAATTGCGCGAAACAATATTGGCAGATGAAACGCTCGGCCGTGATTCTCACTCGATAACCCAGCGCGGATTTATTGGTTGTACGCGCGCGCGCAAGCGAGCGCAACACGCGCGCACGCATTATTTCCGCCGGCGGGATAAAATATTCGACGCGCGCCCCGCGAGAAAAACCGCAAATTGCGTCGCGCCGTTAATCATCCCGCACCGCCGCCGCCGCCGTCGTCGTCATCGTCGCTGTCGCAGTTTTGCGCACTCGCCGCTCTCTCACGCCGGCACTCGCCGACCACCTCTTCCTCCGCCGCCACCCCCCTCGCCACCCGCAAATACGACTGTACTTCACGTCCATTTAACGACCACTCTCGTTTGTTTACCTTTCAGAAATACGTCAGCGAAGGATCGACGGTGCGGGACTGCGTGTCCACGTGCGTGGAGAAAGGTGAGTATCGGCCGCCCGCCGCTCTCTTCCACCCCGTCACGGGGCATATCGCGCCGCCGTGGGAAAAAGAAAAAAAGGATACAACAGAAAATACGCACCCCCGCGTTACATTCTATTTTCGCAGCAGTTTTTCGGCCGCCCCGCCGCGCCGCGGCGGTGTATCTGCGATATTCCGAATCGACGCTCGCTCGTAAATTCTTTCGCTCGCACCCCGCTCGGTCGCAAATGACCATTGCCTTGCTCTCTTTCTCTCTCTCTCCTTCTCTCTCTCTCTCTCCCTCTCCCTCTCTTTCTGGCCGGCAGTGTGAGAGAGAGAGAGAGAGAGAGAGAGAGAGAGAGAGAAAGATCGCGCGAGGAAATTTACAGGAGATAAAGCGGCCCTAAAAAATTGGTGAAACCGCGTGTTATCGGCTGCTTCGGGCCGGCGTTTGTTATCCGAAAAGTGGTCGGGTGAGGCGGGAGGCGATGCAACGCGAAGCGGCGGACAGCGAACATCGGGCCGCCTGCGCCCAGAGCGGACGCGTCGTCGATGGGGATATCATCCCCTGGCGTTTCTCTCGAATCTCGCCGCGACGAGAATCGACTAGGGCCGCGTCATCGATTTCGGATTTCGCCGTGCGCCCGCATCGCCGTTCGCTTCGCGCCGCACTCGAGAGAAAAGAGAGAGAGACAGAGTGAGAAGGGGGGGGGGAGGATGGATGTGAGAGGCCACGGGGTGAAGACCAGTCGCGTGCGGCGCTTAAAGGTCCCACGGCGAACTGCGGCATGTTATCAGGTCGCGTCGTTTTATTGTTTCGCTGCGGATGAAGGCCTCATACTTTTCCTTTCCCTCGTGCGCTCGTATTTCTCCGCCACTCGTCCTTCGACAGTGCCGGTATATATAGCCGGCTTCTCATCACTCTCTCTTTCTCTCTCTCTCTCTCTCTCCTCCTCTTCCTCTCTCTCTTTCTCTTTCTCTCTGCAGCTTTTTCGTCATATCGGGAAACGGAAGCGTCGCGATTAATCCTGCTTCGACGGCGCGTCTCGCTGGTTTTTTCCACCGCAGCGGGACCATTTTTATCTTCCTTCGATATTAAACCTTCTTAGCCGAGGAATTTCTTCGAGTTCATAAGGCTCTCTCTTTCTCTCTTTCACTCCCTCCCTCCCTCTCTCTCTCTCTCTCTCTCTCTCTCTCTCTCCCTCTCTCTCTTTCTGGACTCGAAATTATTATTATTATAATTATTATCACTTATCGCTTGCGGTCGCCGACGTCCCGTCGAACTGCGCCGGCATATCCTCACTCAAAGATACACCGCGATGTCGCTCGAGGACTTGTTGGAGCGTGTTTTCTTCCGGCCGTTCCGCCGGTCGAATAATGACGATTCCTTGCTTTCAGAGGCCTGGAGCACGCGGACGTACTGCTGCCAACAGGACGGTTGCAATTCAGGGCCGTCGTTGACAGCGTCGAGCGGCGCCTACTTCGTCCTGGCGATCTCGCTGGCGGTCCTCGTGATGTGCCGAAGCCTTCGTGGCTAATACGTCGTCCCGCAGGACGGAGGATCCGCGCCACGAGCGTCACACGGAGCCGCATAGGTCCTTCTTCATTCGCGAAAACTTGCACATGAGGTTTCGGGGGGCGGGGGTGGTGACGGGAAGGGGCGGGGACGGGGAGGGGGTGAGGAAGGGTATAGCGAGGGAACGTTGCAGCTTACGTTAACAGACGTTTTGCGCCGGACGATCGAGGAGGCTTACACCTACACACGAGCGGATCTCGCGGAGACGTGACGTCGTCGTCCTTCGATCCTTCAGGTTCCTTCCGCCGAGTCTGATGCCGTCTGACGAGTCGAACGCTGAAAGCCCCCGCGTTAGGCCGGATTCTCACTGTCCGTGCCGTTACGCGGCAGACTGGATCCTCCGTCGAATTTTCTTCAAGCGCGGTTGTCGAAATGCAAAATGGCGGCGGATACCGTGAGTCGGGGTTGGGAAAGGGGTTGTTTTGGAAAAATCAACTCGCGTTATCGCGTTATCCGAAGAAGTCACGAGGCGATTGTAATAACGAACCGCTACTTTCCTCGCCAAATTCCCGCGACTTTTTCTGTAGGAGAAAATCCCGTTCTATATTTTCACCTCCACCGTAACTGATGAGGAAGTTAAACAACGTCGTCGTCAGATCGTCATTACGGAGAAGAGTAACTCACGACGGCGTCGCGAGCAACGCGTTACTTCCCAACCCTGCTACGAGAGCGCTCCGACGGGGAAAGAAACGCTTCGACGGGACCTCGATGGAATTCCGTCCGCCGCATACACTGACAGAGAGAATCCAGCTTTAATCGCTTAGAGTCGTACGGATTTCGCAGTTTCAGCGTTTTCTTTTCGTCAGCTCGCGCTCCCCGTTTTCCGACGTCGCCGTGCACGCAAATGCACGATCTTCGAGCGTTTGACCAGAATTGCTTTGAAGTCCGCGATGATCGATCGCGGAGAGCGCTCGCGCGTCGCACGATTATGGGGGTAGGAGTGGGGGTGGGGGGTCTCGGTTGATTTTATTAGCGCGGCGGTTACCGTTAGCCGTGGAAAAGCGTGTTAATGCGCCTTATTCACCTGTTGCTTTTGTCAGCGGACGGACTCTGACCGGTTCCCGTTTGTCATCAGCGGGACATCGACGGACGATCTTGAGGATTGACATTGCAAAAGCGGCGTGAGTGTATCTCTCCTATCCGAGAGCGTTCCTTAGACTCATCGGCGCACCTTCTTTCTGCAAAGCCTGAGCGTGTTATTTTCACACGCACGAACGTGCGATCGGCCGATTCTTCTTGCTTCATTATAATTTTCAAGGTCTTAAGTTGCGATATTTCGCGCATTTCGAGCGACGTAATCTCGGAAAAGCCTCGGCCAATTACACGCTCGTGCGCGCGAAAGTTACACGTTCGGGCTTGCAACGCTTACAAGGAGCTTGAAGACGCGATGCGAAGGACAGCTATATTTCCCTCCCACTGACCACACAGATTTACCATCTTCCTGTAGTTTCCTCCGATAAAGGTCAAAGCAGACTAACGAGCGAATACTTGTGGCACAGGCCGCCCTCTTCAGGTGTAGTCTTCGCAGCCTCTTGCGGTACGTCCGGTCTGTGTGTGCAAATCCTTGGAGCGTCCGCTCTTTCCATCAGCCACCGCGACCCTGCATATTTCCGCGGTATTTCTTCTCTCTCCAAGGTGTTCCTCCTTCCCTCGAAGGCAAGATACTCGAAGGCGGAGAGGAGTGTAATAGGAAAAAAGAACGGCAGTTCCAGCGAATTCGATGAATCCGGCTTTTCACGACGCGGTTCCACGTGCGGGCGTAACGCAGCGAGAAATTACAGAGATATCGCGGAGAAATTGTGAAGGACTTACAAATGACGTTGGAAAATAACGAATACCATCGCGAAAACGGCCCGAGTAAGATCCGTTTGCCCGGAATATCGACTTGCGTCGGATTCTCACTAACGATCTTTATGACGGCGGACAATCGATCCTCAACTTTTCTTTTTTTTTTTAATAGAAGAGTTTGAGATATGACGGCGACGGGTGCTGCGAATATTTCAGTGCAAAGGATATTTTGATGGAGGGTTAACGAAGTCCCGTCTATCGGCTTGACGGGAAGAGATCTCAGTTTGTGCAATTGGATGAGGGTCAGACAAAAACTCGATATAACGTTTATTTGAACCGAGTTCAAAAACGAGTATCATTAATTTTCACAGTTCTGTTGAACATTCATCAGTATTAAAACCTGGCTGGTGCAACTGAGACAGCAACTGACTAACAAGAAGAGACCAGAAGTGGAAATGCGCTTTTGGAATTCGGTTTGACAATCAATTATAATGAATGGTCTTGCATGTCCATATCTTCTTTTATTTTTTTATAAATTAAGAAACATGAAAATGTTGACGTCATCAGACCGATTAATCCGGCAGCGCGACAGATTTCAAGGAAAGGAGGGAAAAAGTCAAGTAACAAAGTGTTCCAAGACCAATACTTCTTGTAAAAACCGACCTTTTCATGGTGCTTAAGGCACACAAGTAGAGTCCGACAAAAAGGACAAAAAGGACTCTGTTGTTACAAGAGTCTCAGCAGCACATTGGAAAGTGGATGCGGTAGTAATCAGACGATATGGATCCAGTACCAGTCTTGGAGCATTTGCTACTTCACTTTTTTCCTCTTTTCCTTGAAATCTATCGCACTGCCAAGCGGTTAATCGAACCGATGGCATCCACATTTTCATGTTCTTTTATTTGAATTTTTTTACATTTCAATTTCATTTTTTAAAATTAAATTGAATTTAATTATTTTAAAACGTAAGAGATGTCTGAGACGCTAATGTTTGAGATTTCCAACATGGACCATCTATTGCAGCAAACCGCATTCCAAAAGCGCGTCTCCACCTCTCTGGTGCTCCTCGAGCGAATAGAAACTTTCTACGGGAATCTTTCTGTTCCCACAACCGAGTTCTCCTGTCTGGTCTCCAGGCAGCAGAGGATTTCAGTCGCACTAACGGAGCTGTTTCTCCCGCGTGGACGGACAGTGGGAGTCCGGCCTTAGCGAACGCTGCAGCGGTGTAACTCATCGCGTCGGCGACTCTCGTTGTACCTCACGATGCGCAACGCCCGCTATTCAGGGTCGTACATTCGCAACGTACAATCTCGACCGAGGAGATTTGACGGTCGGGGAAACGTATATACTCGTTAAACTCTCGGCAGCGGGCCGAGTTGAGCGACGTGGAGGAATCGGTTCGTTAAATCCGATGCGTTATCGCGCGTCGCTTCTCTTCCCTCTTCTGCTCTTTTCCTTTTTCCCTTCCTTTTTCTCTTTTTTTCTCCTTTCCCCCCCTCTCTCTCTCTCTCTCTCTCTCTCTCTTTCTCTTCACTGTCTATCTGCAGCGATAGATGGAGCTGTCGCTCTCGCTTTCACTCTATCAACTTCGCACGTTTTCGCATACTTTCGCGGATCGACTGCTCTCGATGGGAAAGTTGCCTGCGATCGGGTTTGATCAAAACTTCGTTTGCCGAGTTCGGCTTCGGCAACTGAGATCTCGTCTGCAGCGCGAACCGGCCGATGTTTAGCGTTCCTACAACACACGATCGAAAGCGAGGGGGAGGCGGAGAGAGAGTAATGTTTGCCGAGGTTCCATTTACCGATCCGAGGGTTCCGCGGAATGACGGCGGGAGGGTCGATGTTGCAGCAGCGAGAGCAAGTAACTCTAATGTGATTTTTCTTTGTTTTCATTTCCGTCGGCGATGTTACGTGAGAGCGAGAAGAAAGAGAGAGAGAGAGAGAGAGAGAGAGAGAGAGAGAGAGATCATTCTGTTAATTAAAGAGAAATTTAATTAAAGTACAACGCGCGAGGCATTTTATTTTTTTTATTCGGACGTGATATTTCGTCGCAACGCCACGGATCACGGCTTTTTCGCATTCCTCGCGATTCCTCGAGACGGTCGGAACGCAGAAATGGCGAAGGAGGCGACGTTTCATACACCCACGCGGCGAAAGCCGCGCTTAGCTGCCTTCGCGTTGGCGCGACGCAATCTCCGCGAGATTTCCTTCGCGCGCGACGCGTATTCTTTCTCGTTGCTTCCCGACAGATCGCGCGATATCGCCGGGAGCAATTCAGTCAGGCCGTATCAATGCGGCCAATGTCCATCCGTGGAACTGTTCCGCGCAAACGCGCCGGGTTGTTCTCTCGATGAGCGGCGCCGTTACGCCGGATTTATCTTCCGAGATCTTGGTTCCGCCATTGCGAGAGAAGGAGGAATGGTGGAACGGGAGAGGAGAAAATACATATCGGAGGAGGAAGGAAACGATCCTGCCATTGGCTGCGTTCAGTAGAACAAAATGATCAGTGAGCGCTTAATGATTCTTGCTCCTGATTGATAAATACTTCTGGGTCTATGAAGAAACTAAAAGAATGCTCCAATGACAGACAATAATCACTAAGCGCCCACTGATCATTTTGTTCTACTGAACGCAGCCATTCTTAGCCACTCAGTCGATGATCGAGTCGATGGTGATTTCACGATCCGTTTCGTTCCGACAACCACTTGATTTTTTATCAACGTTGACCCGTTTCGTCGATACCGGCTCGATGTATCGATGTCTCGATACTGACTTGATATCCAGAGGATGTCATGTAGGTGTCGGCCGATTATCGAGGATACAATCGACATCTGGTCGCAATCACATTCAAGCCGAGTCGTTATGTGGACGAAATAACGGCTAAGTCGTCGTCAGCATAATATCTCCCGGAAATCGCGGCAAAATCTTGGAAACGTCAAATCAACCGTTACTTTCCACGTGATTCCAACTCCGCATTGGCGCGGTCTCGAGCGGACTCTTCATCGACTTGTAAACCCGGCTAGGGAAGCGCCGTCCTCCTGCGTACCGCCTGCGACGGTAATAAAAAAGGACCCTACATGGAAGGCGGCGCGGGTGAGCGCTTCCTTCTGCGTGTCAGGATTTTTTCCCCGACCTCTCGCCAGTTGGTCCTCCGTCGAACACTACGGCGACACTCGCGCAGCGAATTGGATTTATTCAAAAAATTTCGCCCCGCCGCGCCGTGCCGTCCTATTTCTCGCGGCGCGTTTTATCGATGCTTCTTCCGCCGCTCCTTCCGTCCACCTCTCCGCC